TGTGTGTGTGTGTGTGTGTGTGTGTGTGTGTGTGTGTGTTCTGTCTCATCAACTCCAGGCACGTCTGGCCTCTGCTTGCATAATGCTACAGTAGGGCACATCTTTCTACCCCGAGGCAACAGTTGCTAGGGTTGCCGACAGGTCGGCCACCGCAGCGATGAGGATAAATGAGCGAAGGGCTCCCATCAGCCCCTGGGTCACTCTCGCTCTGCCTTTCTCTCTCTCTCTCGCGCTCTTTAGCACACACACACACACACACACACACGTTCTCCTGCTTTCAATCCTGAGAAAGTAAATACCTGCACTCAAGCACATGACTAAACACTTTGAAATCATATTTCACAGCCCATCAAACACACACATGGAGCCGAATGCACACACCCTGCGGTAACGTTCACACACACACACACACAGTTGTTTATTTCCATCCCTCAGCTTTTCTACAGTACTCTCAGTGCTCCGCCGCAAAGCACAGGGTTTGCTGTTTCGACTCCAGCTTGTCGAACGGCGTCTGCCTGTCAGTCATGAGCCGTGGGCTCCGAGCGCGCCACAGATCCATCATTGTAATGATCATCTGCTCTGGCATCTCATACATCACATCCCCCGCACTCATTAAATGTACTGTAGTCGCTCCTTTAGTCACACATCCCGTTTCTGTCCATCTGTCTCAAGGCGGCGGCGCTGTATCGCACTTATGATGTGATGCATGGCCGATTATGTGTTGTCAATATGTCATCTCACCTTCTGTGCTCAGTGGAGGCGCAGTTGAAAGTACTTATATGTGTTTATTGAGATAATAACCAACTGGACACCATTGTGTATCTACGACCTTTCTTTTACAGCTTTCATCATTTCACCGTCTTCACCGTGTTCAGTGTGTTCACTGATTGTCTTTGTGTTCTGTGCTGACTGCTTTTCTGTTGCTTCTTGTCTACAGGACGACGTAGATGTGGAGGATGACATGACTATTAGAGAGGTAAGATGGACGGTCAGTCACACAACATGAACACACACAACTTACAATCAGGCAGCAACCTTCGGTTCTGCCGAGTGAAGCCGATGCGGAAGTCTGTTAAAGCTGCATTCTCTCTAGTGTCCACCAGGGGGCGACTCCTCTGGTTGTATAGAAGTCTATGAGAAAATGACTCTACTTCTCTCTTGATTTATTACCTCAGTAAACATTGTAAACATGAGTTTATGGTCTCAATCTCTAGTTTCAAGTCTTCTTCAATACAGCATGATGTTCATTTAGTACATTATGGTCCATTTAGAGTCAAACAGACCATAAAGCAGGGGATGCTTTAGGGCGGGGCTACACGGTGATTGACAGGTCTCTGCCAGAGACGTATACAACGTCCCTACTAGGGGTGGGGGAAAAATCGATGCAGCATAGTATACGGCATCTCTACATCACTCTACCGTCCATATATGATCACTTCCATTCCCTGGAATGAATGTCATATACCTGCTTTAGTTACAAGGGTTAAAAGGTCAGTTTGCTGATCCTGTGTGCGTGTGTGTGCGTGTGTGTGCGTGTGTGTGTGTGTGTGTGTTAATGGTAATAAAGGAGCATGTCAAGGCTCATTGATGGGTTTTTAAAATATATATATTTTTAATTCTGTGGCACAGAGGAAGGAGATATACAGTAAATACGGCTTTGATACACCTACAATACTTGTTAGTGGGATACATTCGTTAAAACATAAAAACATGGAATATGACCAGCGTTATCTTTTAAATCAGTGGATTCTTGTATGCGTATCAGTGTTTGTCTCACTGGAATCTTACACCTGATGACATCACGGCCATGACAGACCTGGCTTTTTTCCGATTCCTCAATATCCACCAGACAGGCCGATTACCCTGGAGTCTTGTATTTTTGGATATAATATCATTCATAATTCATCCATCAACAGCACCTCTCATTTCCTCTCTGTCAGCCACACATTCCTCTCTCTCACTCCATCCCCCTCTCTTCTTTGTGTCATCGTTCACCTCTCATACGTCTGCCATGTCGTTGCTTCTCGCTACATCTCCCTTCCCTTGTTCACCATTCACCTTCCTTACCTTCCGTTGTCGTTAGGCCCGGTGTGATTTATAGAGTCGTGCGGTGCCCGGCCCATTGATTGTCTATCAGAGGGAGGTGATTTGTCAGAATACTCGGTATGTTTGATGCCTCTGCCTGCTGATTAGTGACGGACACCGGGCATAAAGACATCTACTGTCAACAGCATCTACTGTCGCTCCCAAGTTTTAAAGTAAAAAAAAAAAAAAAGGTTTTGTCAACAAAGTCCGGCTGTAACGGTAAACCTGGAGATTAAAGTCGAGAGAGTTTCATCTTCCTCCTGTGATGTGTATCTCTCATTCTCAAACTCCCGCCTCCTCTCTCTGTGTGTTTTTGCAGATTGCAGAGTGGGAGGAGCAGCAGCTTGATGAGCAGGTCAACTTCAACAACTGCAAGATCGACCCCGCCCCTTTCCAGCTGGTGGAGCGCACGTCGCTGCATAAGGTCTGATTGCAAATACAGCTGTTGATCAACCTCTCTGTCTGATTTTGTGTGTGTGTGTGTGTGTGTGTGTGTGTGTGTGTGTGTGTGTGTGTGCGCGCGCTACTGCGTTTCTGTTTATCCACTCTGACATCATTGCAGCACTTGATTGGTTTGGGGAACGCGTGTTTATTTGTATTTCTCAACTGATTCAAAGTGCTGTATACAACATATAAAAGACATTTAGACAATAAAATAAACAAAAGCTGATATATATTTGAAAATAGGGAAATAAAGACCAAACCAACAAAAAAAACGGTAAAAATCTTATATAACTAATTAGAAGGCAGTGGTTAACAGACCCTTTTTACTTTCACAAAACAAAGAGAGCTCCAAGATGAAGTCATATTTGCTTACAGTCTTTATCACAGTTCCAAGTATGAGTATTAATCCAGAACACGGCAACCCTAACTGTACGTGAGTCACTCAACGAGTCTAAAGAATGACTTCATGTCATCGTCACGATCCCCCGACACAAACAGAAGCACTTGGAAAGCAAACTGCCACCAGGTCCGATCCTCTCGGTGCTCCTGTGGTGTTTTTAATGACGTTGGAGGAGCCTGCTAACAACCCAAAGAACCACACACACAACACATTTCACCCTACGGAGTCGAGGAGCGAAAGTGCTGTATAAGGAATCGTTAATGGCCGTGTTGATTTAGTTTTCTCACTGCGGCATTGAAAGCACACACACACACGTATTTCTATGTTGAAAGACCTCACTTCCTACCAAGCACACACACACACACACATACACCGACTCTCTCTGGCTTGCCAGCAGCTGTGGCAGCGCCATAATGTCCCTTATCTCTCTCTCTCTCCCTCTCCCTCCTCCTCCGGGCTCTGCGTGAATACTCTTTAAACATTTAAGAGAGGGATCCTGCACCAATCCATCTCGCTCCCCTCCCTCCACTGCACACTGCCAAAAGCCAATACCACGCACAATCTCCTCCAGCATATTAAACACCGCTGCGTGTGTGTGTGTGTGTGTGTGTGTGTGTGTTCTCTCTACATATTGTCCTGTTTTCTTGCTCAGCCTCTGGATCTGGCTTCCATTTATCTCATGCTGTTAACTCTTGTTGTTGTTGTTCTTCTTCATCTTCTTCGACTTGTTCGTCTCGTTCTTTTTCTTGTTGCTCTTCTTCTTCATCTTCGTCTTGTTCTTGGTCACTAATTAACACATTATATCTCATTTGTTTAAAACACACATGACCAAGACCAAGACATAAACCCTTGTAGAACCCACAACATGAACGAGATATTACAAATGGTAATTAGTGAGCTTCAGAGAATGAAGATTGAAGGCTTTTCCCCAAACCTCTTCCTCTAAACATTGCTATGAACACCACATAAAATATGTCCATTTACCTCCATTGTAACTCAATATATTCACCACAAGAACAACGCATTAGAGATCATTTGTGGCCAGTTTAATGTTCATTAACTGGCCTCCTGTCATTTTGTGAAAGCAAAGCCGGTTGAGTATCCGTGTCTCACACTGCTGTACAGACGGTCAATTGGTTGTGAAATGCCATTTGCAGCCCTTTTAATCAGCGCGTTCCATTTTAAATGGATGTGGACGGGCTGAGCTGGAGGTGAGCGGACTCTCGTCCCCAGAGATGCTGCTGTTTCCTCCTGTGGGGGAACTCTCTGACGGATTACATTACGACCGGCCCTGGACTAAAAAAAAATCACTTAACAATAGTTTTCTTGGCACAGCTTCCGTTTGCGTGGATCAATTTCAGATTTCCCAAATGTCCATTCTGGCAAAGCGAGAAGTCTCGTTGAACACTAAAAGGGTCCAGAACAAACAAAGTCCAGTTGGCATCAATCCTGCAACCTTTCTGATCCGCCGACACCGTTTCTGAGCTCTCGCTCTTCTTGACTTGAGCCGCATGGAGCAACCCTCCTCTGCTTTAATACTGGAGCTGAGATTAAATGACACTTTAATGATCCCCGTGGGGAAAGTGAGTTATCGCAACAGCAAATACACAAGTGATACGGTAGGGCAGAGTGTATTAATAGAGCCACACAGGGTCATAGAAACATGCAAAACACACATTTCCAACTGTATCAAAGTTAAAACAAATTAAGATGTGATAACAAAAACATGTCATGACAAAGTCAGTATTCACAGAACAGTTTAGCACTGTTGTTTTAGCCATTTGCTCTGCATAGAAATGTATCATATTGTTTTTTAAAAGGCAAATAAATTCCATGAATCACACAAATACAAACACAGTGATGGTAAAAGGTTTGACAGTTATCAGTCCTCTGTAAAGAGGATATTGAACACATTACAACAGTATCATTTAACAGGAGAAATGTTTAAAGTAACTTAACCCGTGTAAATGATGACATTGACTTCCACTCTATTATTAGGAACATTATTATCCATTTTTCTAAATAAGAGACTCGGGACGCTTTAATATCTTCGACCTGCGTTTGACCCCATTCACGAGACAGCTGTCACGGGTTAATGTGTGGTCGAAACCATTAGTAAAGACCTCCATACACATCCCTGCTAAACCATATCATAATGATAATAACTTTATCTATACAGCACCTTTTAAAAACCGAGCTTACAAAGTGCTTTGACGGACACAGCAAGGCAAAGACAACAGAAGCAAGACAAACTGAGGTCACACTTACATCCTGATGCATATCAGCTGGTTTTAAGAAGTGATTAAAAAGAGATTAGTGATTCTGAGAGCGTTGTCTCCTCAGACAGGTCGTTCCATACGACACACGGTTACAAATTAGTAGCAAGTAAAGTTGTGCTTCAGTTACAGTAACACGGGTAGCAGCATGAAGTGAGAGATATTCTGCTTTCATCACAATATTCATCACACCGTCCTGAAATAAGAACTGTTAGCGTTAAGATACAAAAGATGCTTGAATTGTTGTTACCATCAACTCCACTATCTAGTAGAACCAGTACAAGCTGGTATCGAACAATTCAATCGTTTCTTTTTTTCTGTGTTACAACGAGCAGCTGGAACGCTCTGAATGTCTCCTTCACATAATGAATCCATCGTGATCAAACTTGTCAACGTTGAATAATTGAAGTCGGCGGTGCGTTTGCCTCAACCGAGCCTCGTTCTCTATTTAAAGTAGGAGCAGCAGTTTGTCTTTCTTTAGTGTTTCACTGATTGTTCCCCCCCCTTACAGACACACACCATCTTCTCCCTGCTGGGCCTCGACCACGCCTACGTCACCAGCATCGGGCGCCTCATCGGGGTGGTGTCCCTCAAAGAGGTAGGAATCCTGTCTCGTAGTTACTCTGCATATTTCATCAGTGAGTTTAGTGGTTTCATATGCTTCTTACACTCAGGATCCATTTTATCTTCTCCTGTTAAAGAAGTCGTGACTATCATCAGTTACACAAGATGCAAATTCTCTGCTTTCATAATTGTGAAATCAATGTCGGTATCTCCAGGGCTGCTCCGCACACACACACACACACACACACTCACACTAAGGATTCCTCCTCCCTCTGCCTGTTATGCACTGTGACAGACTAAAGGCTGCTAAATATTGCTGTCTCTATCTATTGTCTCTCCGTCTGTTCTCTGCCCCCCCCCCCTCTCTTTCCATCTCTCTCCTGCCTCACAAACAACTGAAAAATAACCCTTGCTCTCTGTGAATTGGCCAGGAAGTGGTGGTGAGAGGATTGCTGCTGAGTGCATCGCTGCTTGCCTGTCCCTGACATTTAGGCTTTTTTGTTCTACGTTCCACCAGCAGACAAAAAAACAACAAAAAGCCAGCCATGGCAGATAAAGCCCAGCCTCTGCCTCGTCTGTCTCACGGACACGCTGTTATATCACAGCGTCGCTGGTCCTTACGGGCGAGAGGAAACCGCATATTTCCACCCTGCAGCATGCAGACACTATTCTTTTCAGTGCAGGATTTGTAGCACCCAGACCCTTCACCCTATCAGCCAAACTACAAACTGGGACCAGACAGAAAACTCAATAATAGAGCAGCAGAGAAAGCAGAGAGATGTGATGAAGAATACTTTCTCACAGCTCCAATGTGTTTACAAGAACTAACAACAATGACCCATAAAGTAGAACATATTGTAAAGGGTAAAACACTAGAGGCCATATAAAGCCAATAACCTCACAAGACGGTCATCTTTTCCTTTCTCGATGAATCAAAATGTAAATCATCTTTTAGAAATCACACATGCATGTTTTGCTGTCTGGACCGAAGCAGGTCGGACCTCGAGCCGGAGGCGGCTGGGAAGTCAGCTGCTGAATAAACACTACATCAGGGGTCGCTAATAGGCGGACCGCGGTTCGGGTCTGGACCCAGACGCCGTTGTATCCGGACCCTGGACCTCAGACCGATAGATAACTGAGAATTATTACATTTTGACGGAGCGCTTCTATTTTAGCCGGCGCAGCTTTTCCAGCCTTTACGGCACTCGTTCAGCGGTGCAGGAAACACACCGACCAATGACATGTGTTATAAATCACATCACGTGATGCTACTCAGCCAATCACATATGTGTATTCTGATAAACTTCCTGACTCGAGTGAGATTTACACACACACACACACACACACACACACATGGCAGAGACGAGGAGAGAGACCGAGGAGTTGGAGAATAATAAGTGAGTCAGATAAAAGTAGTAAAAACCAGTTCAAATAGTTAGCTAAAAGTAATGGATAGATGGTTGAAATAGTTCAGTGTTACGACACTTTCAAGAAATTATTTTGAATTAACAGACAGAAGGAAGTGTTCCCATTGCGTCTGATGATCTTGTGTTTGGTCGGGAGTCTCCTCATAAGGACTCCTATACATCGGTACTCGTGTTTGGACAAATCTTTTTCTGTTCTGATAACATCTAAAGGAAATGTCTATGTTTGGTCTCAGTTCATCAACACGTTGCAGATGTTTACAGTTCAACGTTGTACGTTCTGTAGTTGGTGTTCGCTAAACCACCAAAATGCTTTCCAAACTTCCATAATTGGTGCTTGTGTCTTATTGGCTGTGGCTGCACATTCTTAATCAAAACTTCCTGTTATCACATCTGCAAAGACAATGTAGTGGTAATTCAGCTTGGCCCTTTGGTTTTACCTAAAGATCTCAGCCACTTTGATTTCCTGCATAAATCCTCCATTTTACTGAACATTTCTGCAGTTCGTACTGTGACAGAGCAGGTCTGACCCGTGACTGGACATTCTTTCATCTACTTCCAGTTCTCCGGTGCGTAGGTGGCAAGGCGGAGCCGCAGAGATTAATACATGTGCAGTCATTTCTCCCTCTCATTTCTCTTCTCCTACTTTCTGTGAAATGATTCAGCAAACAGCAGCATAAGTCAACGTCACTCCGACCTCACTTTCAGCGCACGCTGCCCTCTGACCGTGATCTATTTTCCTCTGATACGTTTCGGGAAAAGAGGTTCCAGTGCCAAAGAGAAACTGTCTGGTGTGCCAGTGCTTCAGATTGTGATGATCTTTCACTGTAGAGCGAGGCCTGTACAGCGTCAGGGTTAGCTCTTCTATTTCCACTCGTCCACTCGTGCCAAAACCTGTACAAACCTGTAAAAACGGCATAATAAAGCACTGTATAAATCCCTGTACCAAATAGTGCAATGTAGGCACAAAGGCACAAAACAACTCACGTGACCAAATGTAAAACGTACTGTAGTCTCATGGATGAAAGTGTGTATATATATACACACACACAATACTCAAACCAGACAGTATTCATACATACAAAGTCACTTTCTATTGATGCACACTATTCTCCCATGATGCAATGCTAGACCTTTTGCACTGGTGGAGATAAAGTGTCTTATCCAAAGTTTGCTACTTGTATATTCAAGCCATATGTGCTGTTAGGCTACTCTGACTCTTAAAAGCCTTAGCTTGTGGTTGGTTCAGGCGTGCATAGCCTCATTGGCGTGTAACCTGCATGAGTGTTCCAGACTTGAGCTCTTTGTCTTTCTCCATCCAGCTCCGTAAAGCCATCGAGGGCTCCGTGACGGTGAAGGGGGTGAAGGTGCGTCCTCCTCTGGCCAGCTTCCGGGACAGCGGCACCAGCAGCAGCGAGAACGAAGCCACCGAGCTCCACAAGCTGTGGGATCGCCACAAGAGCCTGTCGCTGCCCCGCGACCACACTCCCTCCGAGTCCGACGAGAAATCCCAGTGAGGGGGAAAGTGGAGGAGGACGAAGAAGAGCAGGTAGAGGAGGAGGAGGCGTTGCGATGTTTAATCTCCCAAAGCCACGGAAATGCAAGAATCCTCAGGGCATAGGATCGATATTTAATCCTGGAAAGAGTCCTACTGCTAGCCTCTTTGTAGCTCCTCACTCCTCTTCCTCATCTACTCCTCTTCCTCCCCACCGTCGACTTTTGCGTCATGGACCCACCAGTGCTCTCATCCAGGAGTCCTGCACTGACCAATCCAGACACTCCGCAGGGTAGAGGAACACAACTCAACCTGTGCCCTGCTCTCCATTTACCCTCGGGAACCCACAGCAGAGCGAATGTGGATTCAATATTGTTTTGGTGGGGGGGGGGGGGGGTGAAATCTTTTTTAAAAGGGATTCTTTGTCTTTCAGCAGACTTTGTTTATCTTTTGAGTTGAGATCAAAGTTTCGCAGCTTCTGCAGAAAGTTCATCTTTTGAACGAGTCTTCCACTTCAGCGACGATGACGAGGAGGAATAACGTGTACTGTGAGTGTGAGTGTATGAAGTGAGAAGAGGGGAGGTAGCAACATTTCTTATATGATTTATTTTCTTACGCATTTCTTTTCCAGCTTGAATCATTGTATTTGTGACTGATCAGGTGGTCTGGGTTTAACTGGAATTCGCCGCGGCTCCATTTCTTTGTATATTACGCGACAGTTCGCCCTAATTGAGAAGCACCGGACTACAAGGGGTCGGATGCATTTACTTGTTTCCAGTACACCTCTTCTCCTCCGGTCCTCTCATCTCTTCACTCCCGAGTTCTTAATGGTCAGATTTGCGAGTATAGTCTATGCAAGCAGACGTGCCTGTTGGCAGCGGCGGACGCATCCGTAGCCCTTCACATATATATAGAATGTGCACTCCTTTCATCCCGCAGAGCTACGGGCCTTACATCACTATAAGACACGTAGAACACACACATGGGGGGGGCGATGCACAAGACCGGGGCGATGCACTCCGGGAGGCGAGGTTTTTCTGCTTATCTAAATATAGCTCTTAATAACCGTTCCAGAGACGGTTGTGGGGGGAGAGGGCAGGAAGTGAGGGGGGGGGGGCAAATGGACGGCTGAAAGAATGAAGAAATCATTACCTAACCAGCTGCTGTGGGGCCTCTCATCAATCTGCCTTTGATAGTAATGGAGGTAAGCCAACACCCCACCCCCCACCCCCCCCCCATCAGCTATATGATGTCATGGTCCAGCCAGACTCCACATGTCCAGCAGTCAGATGACAATATGTGAGCAGAATCAGCTTGAACAGGGAGATTAAACGCTAAAGGAAATCCATAACTGGGAGCAAAATGTAGAATAACCACTTATGAAATGTAGCTCGTCTTCACCCTCCATACCTCCAGATCACGACTAAATTATCGCTCCAGCTGCTCGCCGGACGTAGCTGACCGACTGAATCTGTTTCTGGGGTGAATGAATGATTAATTGGCGGCGTGGTTTCTGATTCAGCAAGTCTGACATGACAGATGATGTATAAGTACTGTGTATTTAATAATTCATGTCTGCCATAATGCTTGAGGCTCGTCGGCGCGCTCTCTCTGCTCGTCGACATAAACACATTGATTTGTTTCTCCATCTTTTCCATATCTGACCGTACGTCCTTTAAGACACTCCTTTCTTTTTGAATCTTTTATTTAAGTTTCTTGGACGAGGCACAGACGTCCGCCTTAAATGTGCACACACACACACACACACCCACCCAGCTTCATAGACGCACTGCATGGGGGGGGGGGGGGGTATTTTTACTGGAAGTAAAACGCACACAGTAAAACAGCACGGCTTCGCATGACAGAGTGCATGTGAGTTTATTTTACATAAATATATATACGATCAAAATGTACCAAAAACAAAAGCTTGACAGAAACGGTGAATGTTGTTGAGTCTGTCGGCCATGTCGTGCCTGTGTGTTCTCTGTAGTTACAGTTGCTCCTGTTAGTCACTTTGATCAGCGTCTTCCATTCACTCACTGAGGGGGGGGGGGGGGGGTCTGAGCAAACTCACAGATTAATATATTTAACATCCTGTAATGTAAAAATCATATTTAACATCTTAACCAATCTTAAATTGTTGACTAATCTCTTTTTGAAAGAGATTTTGGGGTGGGGGGGCTTTTTATGATATTTGTTGAGTAATTTTTGACATTTGATGATTTCAAAGAGATAATGCTGTATTTTATGTCTGTTTTAAATCTTTTGACATGCTGTCTGAAATTATATGTAAAGTGCAAATAACACTAACGGGGTGAAGGCTTGCAATGGAGCGAGATAAGGGGGGGGGGCTGTAAGTTAATGTTGAAGGGACCAGCATGACGTCTGTTTGGTGACATTCCACAAGTGCCTTCATCGACTCCTCTTCATCAACAGGAATAACAAATCCACCTGTGAGATGTTCCTTTTCTAGCCATATGCATGCAGACGAGGCACTTTTCACACACAAATATGTAAGCGGGGGGGGGGGGGGTCAGCGGGTTGTGCAAATGTCACCATGGCAACCTGTCATTGTCGTCAGCCCCCCCCCAGGGACTGACTGAGATCCACTCGTCATTTGTTTGTGCTCTTCATCGATTCTCATGTATCCTGCCTCCTGTCAGAGCCCTCCTCCTCCTCCTCCTCCTCCTCCTCGTCTCATTCGCTACCAGGCAGCCGTAGACCGAGGTCGATGCATATTTATTAGTCTGTATTAATCAAAGTAGAAGTTTGTATAAAATGACGTTTTTCATTTTCTTTTTATGGATGATCCACTCGTAGGTAATCGATTTGTGCAATAACTGTTCATCTCACTTTGTAACTCCGTGTTAATCGATGTCGTGAACGCAAGATAACCTTATTTTTGTAAAGAAACCTGAAAAGTGTAAAAAGATGTTTGTATATGAGGAGCTCGTGTGCGATGAAGTGATATTTGAATGACGGTTTTCAGCGGGACGGTTTCCCCAGAAGCCTCAATAAAAGCTTTTATTTGATCTCACGGGAATCAGCGTAAAGATATTTAAGTGAAACACTGTTTGCACCTTTTGGGTGCTGGTCAGCCTTTGTTTTGGCTTTTGGGAAACCTTCCCCGTCTGGTCTTTAAAGGCTCTGTGGTGAATCTGTCATACAAGCCCGTCCTGAAGCACTGACGCTGGGTCAGTTCTATCTTCCTCTCCTTCAGTCTGAGGGGCTTCGATAGGACCAGATCCTCGCATCAGCTGTTGAGGGTTATCTTCTATCCACTCCTCACAGACTACATCGTACTGAAGGCCTCCACTACTGAAGGCCTCCACTACGGGCAAACCCCCCGAGGGCCAAACCAGACTGAGCTCAACAAAATCTAGAGATATTTTTCACACAGGAAAAAAAAAATGAACCATTGTTTTGTATATCAGGGATGAATAAATGCGATTTTAACAAACAGTGATTTTGTTGAAGATTACTTCCTGTTATGTCTTGGGGGACTGTAGCTGTGGGTCCTCTGCTTTGCCCCTCAGTCACAGCTGGAAAGCACCTGGAGTGTTGTTTTTGTGTTCCGCTGATTCTCCCCATGGGGAAGCAAACGCAGTATAATGTCCCAATAATGTCCCAATAAGTTCATTCTGTCCCCCGATCTCTTCATGGCACAGGGCGGCTTTACACGAGATTTGTTCCTAACCCTGCATGTTCAATGAGCAGATTTATACCCATAATTCAATCTACCCAAGGCTTAATATACTTTTATTTCCCCTGCACCTTTAGAATCTGTTTCAATGCAGCATTGGGTGTATTTGTCCTTCCTTCTTTGCATTTCCGCCGAGTTCCGACCGAAAGAAATCGGCCGCTACGACACTTTGAATGACGTTTTATTGGTAGTAAAGTGCTGGACACAACAAATGTTCTGTAGGGCTGAAAATGACGCACAGCTCTCATTTTAAAGTGCGTAACAACATGTATAGGGTATCTTAAGCCCTGCGACCTCAGTGAATAAACCTTTTCATCTTCAACAGAAGAGAGCATCCTGTATCCACATTAACTTAGACTGTTGATGTGTATAAGGTGCATGATTTTCTCATCTACTTGTGTGTATATATATTGTAGACCCTTCTGTCTCTGTGACATCACCGTTTCTTTTTCCCCAAAATGTGATAATATGCAAGGAGGTGCAGTTAGTGACAGTGTGGGCTCCGTGACATAGATCTGTTTGCAAGTCACTCTATTGCGAGCTGGTGAGTTTAATGGTGCGTTCGTATTCTTTTCAACTCGTTAATGCAGGAAAGTTAAGAAATATCACATGTCCGTGTTCTGTAGAGCATCTAGCCATGCGAGTATTCGGGACACAGACATCCAGCCCTAACAGTGAGCTGGAGGGAGGGAGGGGGGGGGCAGCAGCATCCCTCTGCTCACCAATGAGTCCTCTCTTTATACCTAATGGTACATTTTGAGTCCTCATTGTCTCATTCAGCTGCTGAAGTTCTGTAACCATTAAAAATCCCAAAATATTGAAGTTAGTCAAGTGCAGCACATCAGTGGCAGTAATGCAGACGATTGTGTGCTTTAGATGTGTCCCCCCGTGGGGAGTGTTCAGGGCAACAGTTGGCTCGCTGATGATCTGCAGCCGCACACTTTTTCACAGTCTCAATTTTGCGATTACGCCTTCGTTTCTTTGTCGGTGATTTTCTGTCCCCATCCGTCTGCTGCTTCATCATACACACACACACACACACACACTCTCCATTCTGTTTGCTGCGTGTGAATGAGGGGTGAGCATCTGGACTGCAGTGGGTGGAGAGTGCAATGCAAGAACAAAAAAGTTTAATGAGCTGAACGAGTTCATTCGTTAAGTAGGACGCTGCTCCGTCGCTCAGTGAATTAAAAACTTTATTTCAGTCATAAACACATACAGGTGCATAGTACCTCTGCACCAATCATTTAGGAGCAGTGGGCGACTGAGGAGCTCAGTGTCTGGCTCATGGACACATGCAGGAGGACAGTAGGAGCTGGGGTTTGGGTGTCTATGACAAAAGAAGCTGTATTCATCCTGCGTGCACAAACCCGTCATGACTAAAGTGAATTAATAGTTCTGAAAATATATCCAGACCTATATTCTGTTTGTGGTTTCAGATGTTCATGTCGTGACAGACTGGACTATTGGGATTATTGGGACTATTGGGATCGGCCGAAGTCTGCATTCTCCGTGTGGCTTTCTAGTTTCTCAGGATTCTGTTGTGGTTGGCACCCCATGTAATCTATAAATCACTCTAATCTAACTGCCAGTTAATAGAGGTAGCGATGTGACACCAACATGGTGATATCCTGTTACACAAGCGGGGTGTGTGTGAGTGAGTGAGCGCAAGTTTTCCCCAAAACTGAGCCCGACAGCAGCCCTGCAGTCGTTCATCTCTCTCGCGGTGAATACACTCGAAACACTCGAAACACTCGAGCGGCGTTGAGCAGAGCGCCATCTGTCCACGCTGACGCGCTCTCCTTCTGATGAATATTAAATAAAGGTCCCACTAGAAGAAAGAAAAGAAAGTCTTCCTTCTTCAGTAACTGCTACGGTGGAGACTGATCGCCGGTAAGAGGTGCAGACACAGTTCACTCTGTCTTCATCAACATCACACAAGAAGAACATCAGAACATCAGAACAGTACACTAAGTACATGTGCTGTCTGCCCGTTACATCATGTGTAAAACGGACAAACATTAGAATTATTAGGTAATGTTAGGAATGTGTTGTTAACCTTCATCAAACATCAGTGAGCTGTCATGGCTTTGTTTTAAAACTCCTTTAGCCTTTGCACGAGCAAAGCACAGAACGTTTTGAATAAAAAGAAAATTTATATTTTTTTCATAATTATGTTTTCATAATTGAGGGTGTGAAGTGATGTTGCCGTGTTCTGTAACATGTATCTTCAGCTATGATGATACAAAAAACAAATCCTTTTTTAACACAGGACCTTCACCCAGCAGCTGTCCGTGTTCAATTATTTTAATTTACGTCCATAACTTGGATAACAGAACAAACTGTTATTTTGAGCCAAACCATGATGTTTTATACTGAACCTAAGAAGCTTTGTTGCGTTTTGTTTTGTTTCAATGTATGACATAAACCTGGTGTTAAAAACTGCGACAGTAATCATTGAGAAAATACGCTTTCCTCAAAACATCATTGAGTGTAGTTTTGTTTTATGGGAACGTGGTTTTGCAGGAGACCGGGTCGGGTGATGATACTTGGGTGTTGGATGTTTATTCTGCAAGTGGCCAAACAATCTAATAAATACAGTTTTAAATGATTGTGTTTTTGGATTTGGACGAACTAGAAAAAAGACATTTTGTTCTTCAGTCATGCCGGGTGCCATTGTGTTGTCATTGTGTTTTATATGTTTGTGCTGCAGACGCAGGTAGAGGAGATGAGTGGTGACGGGCGTGAGGTTTCATCTCGCGTCTGTTTAAAGACTCACGTCAGTCCGATTACCTCGATTAGTATCGTCAGTGGCTCGGGATGAGTGTCTGTGCTGTCAGAGCCGACGCTGCTAATAATCAACCGTTTATTTCAGAAGAGAAGTCAAATCTGATGACTTACTTTGTCTGGATTTAAGTTCAAGTAAAACAGGTCTTTCAGGTCAAACACATTCACCCTGAGTGAGTGTGTGAGGATCACAAACCCTTCTTTTTACCTTCTAACAGCAGCTCTTCTACTCTGTGGCCTGTTCCCTCTGACCAATGACAGAGCGGGAAACTAAATACATTAAACAAATAAAAATAAACTAGTTTCATGAATATATATTTGGGGGGTTAAAACTCATATTTATTCCATGTCTGAGAAAATAACAAATCCTCATGTTTATCATCACACTACATACATAGATGACGACTTGCTATAAAAAGTATTAATATACAAGAAGAATGTGAAAAAAGTAAAAAACAACATTAAAGACATTCGATAATATGTGACGGTAACGTCCCGTTCCCCCGTAGATCTGAAAGCAACAGTTTTCACTTTTGTCTCATTTTTCTGCAACAAAACTATTTGAAGCATTCTATAATCACATAACAGATCCAAACTTTAATATTCCCTATCAGTCCACCATGCACTCAACAGCCGGCCTTTCTTGAGTGCAGGTGGTGATGTCGGGGGAAAGGTTTGACACAGGCTGCACAAACATAGAGGCCACAAATCAAAGGCGAGCTTCACTGCGGTAGGTGGGGACCCCCGGGGGCTCCATGGTCCGGCGGACACTCACCACCAGGGTACCGTCGGGGTTCAGGGTCCCACTGACCGACAACGGGTCCATGTCCTCTGGAAACAGGGACTTGTGGGTGAACGTGTCGCTGACGCTTCCATCATCTAGTACCTGCAGGACAGAGGTTAGAGGTTGATCTGTAGAACGAGGAGGGGACAGCTGTTAGAGAGAGAGAGAGAGAGAGAGAGAGAGAGAGAGAGAGAGAGAGAGAGAGAGAGAGAGAGAGAGAGACTGACTGACTGACTGACTGACTGACTGACTGACTGACTGACTGACTGACTGACTGACTGACTGACTGACTGACTGACTGACTGACTGACTGACTGACTGACTATTTTTCTTTCCTGATTGTCTTAATCATCTGATGAGTTCTCAGATTTAATGGAAGTTATTTTATAATTCATTTGCGATTGTATAAACTGAAAAATTCAGCAAATCCACACACTTAAGAAATTGGAAACAATAGCTCATATGGAATTTTTGCCTGATAAACAACAATTGATCATTTAAAATGAAATGGTTTTAAACTATATCAGCCATGTGTTATGGCAGATAGTGAAATAGCCACGAAATGCAACCTATTGGTTTCATGTACAAGGACATGAATTGTCTGATTTACCGGTGGAAAGTCCAGTAGGACCCTTTATAGCGGTGCACATGAACTAAATTCATCAACAAGTGGTTTTTACTGTCGTCCTAAAAGAAAGTACGGACAATGTGTGTCCCTGTACACGAAACCGAGTATTTCACGCTCTGCCGTGAGACTGTGTTGCTGTATTGATGTGTGGCGGTTGCAAATCAGAAGCAGAACTTTTATTGTATTTTTTTGTTGTTTTAAGCCGATTTGGCTGCTGATGCTTGCTGGTCTGATTATTATTCTGAAGTTGTACACGATCTGGATTCATCCTACATGTGCATGTATCAAATCCAATTTAAAGATGTGTTAATGCTGCAGATCAACATGCAACTGAGCAGAGCTCACACACACACACACACGCACACACACACCTTCTGGGCGTGAATGACAACATGGTGGTTGTAGGCCATCACCACCACATCGTGCGGCTCAAACTGGCTGACGTCAGCGGACATGTAGTAAGTGTCTCCCAGGCATCGCACGGCGCCTCCTGTCCCGCTCTGCCGGCCCGTCACAGCGCCGCCTGCAGGAGCTGCAGAGAAACAACAGGAGTTCTGCTTGGAACAACATCTGCAGTGAAGGGAAGCTACTGTTGGTGAAGACACTATAATTAAATAAATGTTCAAACTTAAACTCAAAATTACATTTAATAACAATAATAATAGTTTTCTTGAATCATTTCACAAACAATGGTTCATTTAAACATTTTACACAATTGATTCACACATATGTATTTCATGATGTTTTATTTATTTCATATATTTAGGTTATACTTTGGGGCTTCGTATAGTCACGTAAAGCTCTATTGCTCAGTTGTTTGTATGCTCTGACTAGAACACAAAGCCATTAAACGCATGAGAGACTGAAGCGTTATGTGTTTACTGCCTGTCTGGAAAGAGAGAATGTTTCACTAAAGAAGAGACTCCGTGGTTTCATCAAACACATGCAAGTCTTGTATTTGTATTTGATTTGACATTTGAGGACAAAAATACTCCAAATGAGTCAAAATCAGAATGAAATCAGATTGTAAGCCTGGTTTACTTGATTTAATCCGCCTGTAGCTTCACACCAGTAGTATCTTTGTTGTTATTGTGGTTGTTCCTGATTCGTGTGGCAGCAGAACTGTTTTAACGTTTCACATTAAGTCTTTAGATGTTCCTGTGTTTTATATTAGCACTCCACTTTATATGCATTTTCTGTCACCTTGCTGTTCGTTTTTGGAGCCGTATCGACTCTCTTTCTCACGACTCCGGCTCATTACTTTCACTGAGCCGCAGGTCTTTTTCTTTCTCTGTGGCGTTTTTCTTTCAATCAACTCGCCGCTGTAATGGGATACTAATGCCTCCTGCCTGCTGGTGGAAAACATAAATGAGAAAGGCGCCTGAAGAAAAGCTGCCACGGTTCCCATGAGCAAGACACTAAAGCTGTGACTGCTCCAGTAGAGCTGTTGAGCATGATAATGCTAGAAAGGCTCATTTAACCTTCCTCATGTAACTTTATTACAGCCCTTTATGAATGTACACAGATTCACACGTTTCATTAAAAATGACCTTTTATGCATTTCAACATTTCAACACAACTCCAGACTGTTTGTTTTTTATATTTTAAACGTAAAATGTTGATGTTATTCATCTGTGGAAAGTCTTTAAATCATACTTAACATGTAAGTGCAAAATGCATGCTTTCTTTTGCCCTTCGTTCCCCTCACCAGTGTGCCCATAGGAGGCCCTGCTCTGCCTGCTGAAGGGGGTCGAGCAGCTGGCTCCCCCGGGGCTCCCCTCTCCAAACAGACCGGAGCAATCGGCAGAGTCGAGAAACGGCTCGAAAAGGGGATCCAGAGAATCGGGCGATCCACCCAGCGAGCCCTCCGAGCGATAGGAGCTGGAGGTGCTGTAGCGGGACGATGAGCGGTAGGACGAGGAGGATCTGCGACTGGAAGATGTCAGCGATGCCATGATGGGGGATATGTAGGCTACACACTTGGAAAACACACTCCCACACTATTTTTCTCAAATGTAATGTTTGCTAAGTCGCCTTAGAATAAATAGTGACCAAAAACAGGAGTTTACTAAAAGTGGATAAGCTCTCTCTAACTGTCCAGGGGTCTTTGTTGTGGGTTTTTATAAAGCCCCAGTGCATTGTGGGTCAGTGGAGCACAGCGTGGGCTCTGCAGTGTTCTCCTTTTAGCCATAAATGGCAGTCCGTCCAGCCGCATGGTGCCAGGAATGTAACGGACAAACTGATAAGGAGCGGAGACCCCTTCTTATTCAGACGCACAGCAGAGATAAGGCTGAATGGGGGCCACTTGGAGAGGCCCCCCCCCCCCCCCAGCATGTGGTCATAAATAGAGTGGTGGAGTGGTCAGGTCGTCCGTTGGACTGGCCGAGCATTCAACGTGGACACTTTATCAATAATGCAAGAGAAAAATGGCCTTTTAAGTTCAGCAAAGCTGCTAATGGAATAACAGATAAAGTTCAGGTCTGAAACGGAGAGCGCTTCATGAGAGAAATAAGTCAAGCTCAGAAACACCAAATGTGCAAAATGTTTTTTATTTGGACGAAAGCCAAAGTAAATACGGCTCCGGTTGACCTTTACCATCCATCTTTAAAAGCTTTAATTGAAGTGACGTTTGCCTTTTGACGACACAGCTGTCCACCAAGCTGTGCTGCATGTCAGCGATAACATTCAAGACTCTCATATTAATACTTTAATGCTATGTACGTGTGTTCTTTTCATTGGAGGATGTGAACAATGACATCCGGCAGCACGTCATCCTGCCCTTCAGGTTACTGTAGCCTCCAGTCACAGCGGGAGCTATAAAGCTGAAACAGTGCAGTAAATACAAGCAGCATACATCACCATGACACTTGTATCTGTCCTTGTGTATAATATTATGCATTGATAAATCCTCCACAGCATATTTTTTTTAAACTGCTTGTCAAAGCATGTTTAAAAAAAAATCTTCACTACGGTTTGACCTGAAAGACGTGCAGGATGAGAGGAAACAGAGAGGTTTGATTTAGTAAACGCAGAGACTCAGCTGTCTCCTCTAACGCCTGGCAGTCAGCAGCAGAGCAGTTCATCCACTCAGCTCTCCTGCCAGAGGTCCAGCGTCTCCACCGGGACTACTGTTAGTCTCTGGGGGGCACGCTGTGGTCTCCAGAGCCCGGAACACAGAACCTCTCCTGACCGCCAACCAGGGGCCCAATCTGGATTTCCAAAGTGGAGGAGGACACAGTTGTGATTACAGGCACAACTCCTCAAGAGGGCTGTAGTTTGTCACACTCATACCTGAGGGAGAACAAAACACAACCATGTGTTTTAAAATCATTTTGATGATAATGGTCGCAACAAAAATATTTGATACTTGACTTTTGTTGACATACTATAGATTCACGATTCACGATTCAAGATTCAAGATGTTTATTGTTTCCTTCAAAAGTACATCATTGTGAAAGTCTTTCTCTGGGAGGCTCCAACAAAGAAAGAAAATAAATAGAGAATAGAAAAATACACACAAAATATAATACAATAAATATAATGACAAAAATACAAGAAGCAATGAAAATATCCATCTGTAGGAAACAAAGACAGAACCACACAGACATTAATGTTGCATATTGTCCAGGGGTTGGATTGCACTTTGTTTGTGTGTGTGTCTGTGTGTGTGTGCGTGCGTGTGTCTATGTTATTTATTCTTTATTGCCTGAACAAGCTGTTCTTCAGTCTGCCGGTGCTTTTTATGGGGGTCCTGTACCTCCTACTTGAGGGCAGCAGTGAGAACAGACTGTTTTGTGAGTGTGTTTGGTCCTTAATGACACTCGGGGACCCCCTGAGGCACCACTGGCGGCTGGACAGCTCATATCCAGTGATTTGCTGGGCCGTGTGACCGCCGCCCTCTCCAGTGCCTTGCGGTCCATGCTGGTGCGGCTGACACACCAGGTGATGAAGCAACATGTCAGGAGGCTCGCTGCAGCTCCCCGGTAGGAGTCACTGAGGATTTGGGTTACAGATGCTGATGGGCCTCTTTTATTTACAACAGTTGTGATGTGGCTAGCACATGTTAGGATCTTGTGAATATTTACCGCCAGATATTTGAATTTGTTCACTTTGTCCACAGCTGATAGAATAGTGGTCTGATGTATCACATGGAGGGCAGGGGACGGGGGGGGGGTTTGTAGTCATGTTGGAACGGGGTGAAGGAGTTATATAATATAATTTCCCCTTATGTGTTGAACATGATGTGTTCCTGCAGTTTTGGCCGTACCTTTCTAAGATAGGCCGGGTAAAAGTCCTTCTTCCAACATTCTATACTATGGCTTTTTAATGACATTATTTGATTTACTATGACTAGTTATGGGGATTCTACATACTTTATCCATGTCTTTTTTAAATTAATTTCTTCAATATTTTATGACATCACCCCATTTTATGCTTATTTTTCAGACTTATTATGTCAAGTTTTGTTGACATACTATATTGTGATTTTTTTATTAAATACTACACGTTTTTTTCGACACACTATAATATAACATTTTTCGACATAAAATACTCTGACGTTTCTTTCCATACTATACTGTGACTCCTTCATGCCATACTTTACGACATATGTTTTTTATGATTTTTTTCGATATATTATCCAATTAATGTTTTTTGTCATACAATACTGTGACTTTTTGGACAAACTACAATAAGAGTTTTTTTTTTTACTATTTTTAACATTTTTTTACATGGTGTTTTTTTTTTAGAAATCTCATACTATGACTTTTTTATGACATATTATTTCATTACTTTTTTCCCACATAGTAGACTATGGGTTATTAACGACCTACTTTTTTTGTGACTTTTCTTTTTTTTTTTACATGTAGTTTATGATGACTTCTTTGACACACTATGATGTTCATTTTAAAACCTTTTTATTTTGATGACAATGTAATTTGACTTTTTCACGACTTTTGTAGACATCTTTTAAGATTATTTTTTTATGACTTTTATCCGCATACCATATTTAGACTTTTTAACATACTGTAAGTGATAACACAGCTGAGTGCATCAACAGTGCGGAAGAAGTTTTACAACAGCGTACAGGCCGTTGGTATCTAACCGGGTCTGACAGGCAGTCTGGTCAGGACCGTGGTCAGGAGGAGGTTTCACACCTCATTTGTTTTCGGATCAAATTGAAAGTTCTGAAAGTCCAGACCAAACCAGGTGTGAGACAGTCATTTTCAGAAGTTGTTGAATATTTCTCCATCATCGACATCTGGCACAGGACTGCGTTGAACATAAATACATTCTTTCAGGTACATTGTTTGTGTATATTTCACCTTCGACCTGATTTGACATCAGGAACAAAGCTAGACTTTTCTCATTTGGTTGTTGTTTTATATGGAACCTTTTCTCTATTTACACATTTTTTTTAAACCTTATCAAGGAATATTTTATTTACACTCCAGCAAACCGGAGCTGGGAGGTACAAGGATGCAAAACCCTGATGATCTCACACATCAAGCTTTGTTTGAAATCCATCACGTCCTGCTCGATATTTCCATCCAGTCCCGCCCCCGAGCCCCTACCAACCACATGGATTACTCAGCTCCCCGGGGACCCATGATGTCATGGGAAAATGAAATACTGCTGTAGGATCACTAAGACCAGCATCACTTTGTGTGGTTTCTCTAACTGCTGTCCTTTGCCCTGCTAATAGCGTAATGATGATGATGTCGTCACATCAGGAAGCTAATTGCAGCAGGCTTTATGGTGTGTGCACCACAGTGAATGTCCAGTAGTACATGGCGTTAAGAGGTGAATGTAATAGTTCATTATCTAATCATGACCATTAACCACGACATTAATGGAGCTCTGCACACATCTCCTCCCATCTCTCTTTAACTCTCAACTGTAATGTAACTCTATACATTCTTATATTTCATTTCATTTCATTTTATTTCATTTAATATTATTGTATTTAATTTTATTTTATATTATTTTATTTTATACTATTTTCTTTTTCTTTCTAACTGACGGTGACGGGGTTACAGCTTATATTTCATTGTGCTACCCTGTGTGGTAAACCTTGTCACCTTGTAAACTTTTATGACGTAAAAAATAATCACATCACACCAAAGCAGATTTTTTTTTGTTGCAAATAACAATAACAATATTTTATTAACTCGAAATAATATCAGATGCAGCAAACAAAGATTCATTTTTCAAATCCAAGATGGCAATATTCAAATAATTACATTCCGCCAAAAGAGGAAGAAAAGTATTAAAAAAGAGAAAAATGAAAGTCAGGATTGAGATATCAGAGGGAGGAGAAGGGAGGGTGTGTGTGTGTGTGTGTGTGTGTGTGTGTGTGTGTGTGTGTGTGTTTGACTGATGCTGATGATGTGGATGGGACAGTACATTCATTTTGGGTCATCTATATTCCTCTTACCCTGCTAGCTTGTCTTTGTCTCTGCTGGGTGAGTTGTATGGCTTTGCTCTCTGAACTCTCACAAGCCTTTCCATTTTGTGTGTGTGTGTGTGTGTGTGTGTGTGTGTGTGTGTGTGTGTGTGCGTGTGTGCGTGTGTGTGTGTCGCTGCATGCACCCGAACCCGCCTCCTCGGGGAGGCTAATATGGGTTAAACACAGACCATCTCTCTCTGTGAAGATTGCACTCACGATACTCGGCTCCTGCAGCAGTTTGTCTCAGTTGTGTTCACAGTCCTAATATTCACCGCGGGGGGGGGGGGGGGGGTGCCGGTGGTGCCCGGGCCCCTTCGGCTTTGTTCTAAAATGGTAAGTAGGCTATAGGGTGACAGGGGCACCACCAACTGAATATTCATACGCCCTCCAGCCTCGACACTGTCCAACAGATGTTTTGATGTCTTTTTATAGCGCCGGGTTCTCCCACCATCACACTCGCAGGGAGAATCTGGAGCACTTCTCTCTGATAAGTATCCAATGTCAACGCTTGCCTGAAGCAACAAACTACACACACACACACACACACACACACACACACACACAGAAGCGTTGTTGTTTCACTCTCAAGACATCTGTCTCGCTCAAGGACAGCTGGGCGTTCTTGTGTTCTTCCCTTCATTCCCCCTACATTGCTTTCCACAAACTGCGAAGAGTTTTATGGGACAGTTCACCTCAAAAGATGCGGTGGTGGTTGGTGAGGAGAGACAAGAGAAGGGAGGGCGCAGATGGAGAGCAAAGGGGGGGGGGGGGGGGAAAGACACACGGGTGAAATAAAAAAAGACAGACAGGAGAGAGATACGCATCTCCTGTTCGTCAGGCGGTTTTGTAATCGTGGGCTAATTGCCTGTCTGCCAGGGTAGCGCTCAGATTACGTAAGAAGCCCCCTGTGGGGATGTATGGAAGGTGGGGGGGGGAGACGACAGGACAGAGACATAAGGATGGAGAAGGGGAGACATTCATCAGGCTGTCTGCGTGTGTGTCAGCGGGCACTCTTCTATTTCTATCCTCAGGAGGACAAAATATTCTCACAAGGATGGAAAGACGAAGAAAGTGTCTACTTCTGCAAAGGACTTTGATTTCTAGGGCTTGAGATTAGATTTAGGACGTGGTTAGGGTTTGAGCCTGATCACGTTCATCAGGAGGAAAACACATGCGTGTCGATGTGAGAGAGGGACAGCTGGGTGAATGAAAAACGCATCACACCAAGGTGCCCGTCTTCTCTCACACACACACACACACACACACACACACACACACACACACACACACAGCTCGGGGAGAGAGGATGGAGGACACTCAGAGAGACAGACAGAGCGAATGCACTGTGGTGGACAGAGAAAACTGATAAATAGGGGAGTGTGTGTGGGGGGGGACGGGGACAATGCACTCGTCACCACGTCAGGACAAAAAGCACAACCTCGCCAGCATCGCTCCGGCTTTTAATGTCAAGCAGAAGGACGGTGACGCAAATCGGCCCGCTGTAACCTCCATCTGTGGCGGGAGAAAACACACAGGGAGGTGCAACAGGAAGGGGTTTACTCTGCATCTGCTGATTTAACAAAAGAACAAAAAACAAGGGAGAAGAGGAAGGAAGCCAAGCTATGGCCTGAGTGACAGCGTGGAAGATGGTGATGATGATGGGACAACTTGGGAGGTCAAAGGTGACGAATGAAAGGCACAGCTTCACCCCTGAGTTGTCGCTGTCTTTTCCAACTCCCCCTGACTGGGACTCCTCGTTTAACATGTAGGATTTAGTCTGATGTCATCCTGTTTGTATTTTTCAAAATAATTTTCCAGATTTATATACCTTTTGCTTTTATTTATTCTTCACAGCATTAAAAATTCAACCTCCAACGAGAGCTCAGCTACACCACACACTGTTTTAAAGGGAATCGCTGCATTGGAGGGGTTTTGGAATGGATGTACAGGGCAAGCTTAACGAGCTCGCTGACATCTTACAATACAGTCACACGCACACACACACACAATTTCACACACACATTTGCACAAATCGCAAACATAGGGACTCGCACGTTGAGGCTCTGCTAAACAGTCAAACATTAAAAGATGGATGTGGGGACTGAATCTGTGCTTTATTTGTAGAAAATAACTACGCACACCAGGCTTTTTCTACACACACACACCGAAACCGCACACGCAAGCGCACTCATGGAGGATGAGAGACAGGTGGTGTTATGGGTGATGCTCTGGTCCAATGGGATTTTCCTGAGTTGTATGAATGACGGTCCCTCTGGGAGAACCTCAACAGGGCTCCTCACATCCCCACGGACATGGGAGTTCCTTCATGTGTCACATAAACAATGACGTTTTGCAAATGTCATAAAAAAAGAAGGAAAAGTATTGAATAAAAAGGCAAAGCTTTTCAGGAGTTAACATGAGAGGAAAGAGCATTTTGAAGTTTGACTCTTCATGACAAAGGCTTTAACGAACCGTATCACAGTATTCTCTTTTGAAATAAAAACGTTTTTGTTCACATTTGTATTGTTATTTTCTTTTTCTTGTTTTTCCCAGTAAACTATATCACACAGTGATAACGAAGAAAAGGAGAAATCTACAGCCACATTAGCTTCGTGCAAAAAACCACATACACTGGCACGCCGCGTAGGCGAAGAGATCAAAGCAAGACAACGCATACAAAAATATAGAAAATCTTCCGATGCAACGTCATCTCTTCACGGAAAAAACACTTTCCCGTCTTTTTCCACCTGCGCCGCTTTCTGCCGATCACCTACCGCCGAAGGGTCACTTCAGGAACATTCGGTTCGTGTTTGTCGTCGTCGCTGCGGTTGTTTTTTTGTTTAAGACAACCACAGTTCTTGTGTCTTCCATGCAGGAATCCACAGAACCTTTAAGAATATCCAGTAGCTATGGTTGTCATTATGGCAGATGTCCATCATAATGATGTTTGGAATAATGTGAACATCAACATGTTTGAGTGATAGAAAACTAGTACAATAAAAGCATATCATTTCTGTTATATCATTTGTGACAAATCTTTTTCATTTATAAACGTTGTTATTTTAAAATACATACTATGTCCTGTCACTTTTCAAGACATTCCAGCATTTGCTCATAATTGGTAGTGACAGGATTAGATAGTTTGGCATACTCAGCAAGCCATGCCCAGGAGGATGCTATGTTGTCTCTTGCAAAGGAGGGGAGAGGGAGGGAGGGAGGGAGGGAGGTAAGGGCAGGTCCCAGGACGCAGTGTATGACCCTCCCTCCCATGGTAGAATCTGGGGGTGGTGGGCGGGGGGGGGGTTAAACAGGACAGCTGAGATTGCAAACCGTGCTCAAGACCGTCTCAGCCCGTCGATTTCAGCACTTGCAACACACATGCAAAGATAAGTTGACTTTCGGACTCATTCTGTCTGCCCGGTCAGTGGCGTCCATTTTTTTTTACAGTCGCTCCGCCGGCCAGGATGGAGACGGAGACGGAGGCCGCGTCCCGCGTGCGTGCTTCCCCAGGAGCACTGTCGCTGGACTGATGTCCAGTTCTCACACCGATAAAAAAGATTGTTTGGACGCCTTCAAGGAAAATAGAGTTGATACATCGAATGGCGACAAAGCAGTCACGAGGTGGAAAGGAGGAGTTGAAATGCTGCAAGTAAGGCAAAGACGGATGTTTTATGTTTCAGTCTTTGGGGGGAACAGCATGCGCGGCAGTTCAAACATTTCAGACGCCATGGAGGAAAGGGGAGGTTGTTGCAAAAAAAAAAAGAAAAAAGCGCTTGGAGGGATTAAACACTGTTGTTGGGCTCTCCTGCCCTCTCCTCCTCCTCCTCCTCCTCCTCCTCCTCTTCATCCTCCTCCTCCTCCTCTTCATCCTCCTCATCCAGAGACACAATCCCGGAGGAGGCCACATCGGAGACCCTCCTGCGCGGGTCGTAGGCGGGCGGGTACTCCGCTCCCTCCGCCTCCACCTGGCACACGGTGCTCTCATAGTCCTTGCAGGGGGTGTCGTCGTCCTCGCCGGGTGACAGGTACGTGTCAGAATAAGAGTAGCATGGAGAGTCCTGACCCCCGCAGGGCCTGATGCCCCGCCCTCCCCCGCCCAGGCTGTGGAAGCCGCAGTCCCCGCCTCCGCCGCGCCCGCCTTGAGCCGCCCGCTGAAGCCGGGCCAGCAGCAGCTCCTCCCCTCCCTGCAGCGCCGCCAGGATCTTGGCGGCGAGCTCGGCGGCGTTGCTGTAGGAGTGGTTGCTGCGGTGGCCACCCAGGTCGCGCAGGAGTGGATGGTGGTCGTCCAGGCTGTAGAGGCTGGAGCCCAAGGTGTCCGGGGAGCCCGCCGTGGGGGAGGGCTCTCCGCTGCCGCCTCCCTCTCCGCCGCCGCCGCCGCCGCCGCCGCCGCCGCCTCCTCCTCCTCCTCCTCCTCCCTCGCCACAGGGCCCTCGCAGGCCCAGATGTTGGCAAAGCTGACTGTGGATCAGGTCCTTCAAGTAAGGCGGAAACGATGACACATCTAGAGGAAAGGAAACACACTGTGAGCATGAAGTCATGCAGGAAGAAGAACATTGACGAGAGAAGAAATACGAGATCACCGAGCCTCCTGTCGGGTCACCGAGAGGTTGCAGCATCAGCAAAATCAACTTGCTTCTTTCCAGTCTTTATTTATACATCTTCGACTTTTTATGTACAATTATGCCCGAACAAGAGTTTCATGCTCTTCCACAGATCGATAGTTGGCGGCAGTAACACAAGAAACGTAGGGATGCACCAGCTAAAGGCAAGAAAAGAAGCCCGCTAGCTAACAATCACAGATGTAAACAATGCAGCTTTTTAAAAAGACACACTTGATGTGAGGAAGAAATATCCATCACTACATTTGTTAGTCCTCAAAAATGTTTTGCTGAATGTAACTTTAGCTCCACTGGGTGCCTTTAAGAAGAATAGGTTTGCTCTGGTTTGGCAACAGGAGCTCAAACTCACTAAAAAAAATGACTGAAAAGTAACGGCAAAATACCGTCAAAAAAAAAAACCAATACAGAATTGAAGGTAACAGGACCTGTTAAAAACCCTGAGTAAACAGATGTATTTACCGAAATATGTCAATGAGAAGAAGGAAAAATACCAGCAGTGGAAAATCATGAGAAAGAATAAATAATGTATGTATTAGAAATGACAATAGTGATAAGAAACCAGCTGCAAAAATGAAAATGTGACGTGATAGAGAAACGAATTATCATCTTTGATTTTCCACATTTTGTCCACCACAAAGTCTTAAATAATGGGCCCTCAGTCCAAAGAGGTAGAGTGGATTAGCGTCGTATACAGGCCGGCTGGTACGCGTGAAGCTCCAGTCACTAAACGGCCTTTCATCCAGAGAGCACGAAGCCACAGATGAAGACGGAGAAGCACCACTGTGCACCAATGTTATTAGCTGCAGTTCAGGTTATTGGTGGTTCAGTGTAATCAAGATGAAAGCACGGGTGTACACACACACACACACACACACACACGGTCAAATACACTGTGTATTTATAACCTGCTCGCACACCATACTCACACAGATACTGTCTCCGCAGCAAAGGAAATGATATTAAAGTTGCAGGAGGGATATCAAATTGCGCCGAGGAACAAAAAAAAAAAGAGAGGATGAAAACTAGGGCACTGGGACAAGGAGAGATACAGGGAGAGAGGAGGGTGAGGTATTAGGATAGAGAGGGACAATATGAAGGAAACAAATGGGATTTAGTGTGTGTGTGTGTGTGTGTACCTGTGCTCTGTGTGGTGGGCTCGTTGGCGGGCAGAAAGTCCTCGTCGTATGAGTCATCGTTGGACTCGTCGCCGTCCACAGACGACCAGGCCCTCAGCTTTGCCTCCGCTATGGCAAACTGCTCTGCAACACCTGCACACAAACACACACATATACTGTGTATATATATATATATATATATATATAAATATATACGCACAAGCTGCACATGTACACACACAAATACATGGTTGGCATGGTAGCAAGGAGGCAGCGGTCCCTCGCGCCTCCGTGTCGTGTAGCTATTGGTTTGATTGGCAGGTCTGAGTGCAACAGCGTTGTAGTGTTAGACTGGACGGAGACAGACTTCCCATCACAGTCAGAGTTCTCTCAGTGCTCATTACGGCCGCTGCTCTTAAAGAAGGCTGCGTTTGATGCTGTTGTTCTGCACAGCATCAAAGGACGTTGGCAGAAGCACAAAGACGATCCCACGTAAAGCCCCGGACAACGTCACTGTTACGCCAGGAGAAACACTTTGTAATCAGCGTTGACATGACGGTGATTATTGTATTGGTGAGAAGTCATTAAAACTCCATCGGTGGGACAGATTCACTGTTGAACCTGTGTGAACATACATTGATGTGTTTGCACGTACAAAAACAGCGACAATCAGAAAGAACAGCCCGTCTCTGACATAAGGACATAAAGGCCTCGGCCAGTCGTTCACAATTTACAGTGTTGGTCTGTTTTTACGGTTTAGTCCACCCCACTTATATCCGTGATGGGGACAGAATGTTAAATGCACCTCTCTGTGTAATGCACTAAAACAACACACCCACTGGCCCCAAAACATGACCACATGGTTAAATCAATACCGTTTACACGGGGAACACAAACTAAACATTACATGCTTCACACCGAGTTATTGGATTTACAGTAGAAATCAAATAAACTGTTTGCAAAGCTACACTGTATTTACAGGGTTTATCTGTCTGACTGTGCACATGCATGTGAAACCACTTCCTCTGCTTTTTGTAGCTTGTACACACAGTAGCTTTCGTAGCTATTGAGGCGTAATCATGTCGACAATGTTCTCAAGTAAAACAAATAAAATTATCATCTTCAAATCACAAGGTGTTGAGTTGAACGAGTTCATCGGTAGCTGTATTCCTGTCGTGGTTATTTGCCCTCGCTACTATAATAATAAATCACCATATTTTGCAAACACACACATATAAGGCCACAGAGAGGACATCAATGTGTGTGTGTGTGTGTGTGTGTGTGTGTGTTTCTGAGGTGATTCAGCATGTGCCAGAACCAATAAGGTCCAAGTGA